TCATCAGCAGCAGCAGCAGCATCATCATCATCATCATCCATCATCATGGTCTGCGTCATCATCAGCATCATCAGCATCATCATCACCGTTGTCATCATGATCATTATCGTCGTCATCGTCATCACCATTATCACCATCATCATCATGATCGTCGTCATCCTCCTCCTCATCATCATCATAATCTGCATCATCATCGTCGTCGTCATCATCTTCATCATTTACTATCATCATCAGCGTCAGTATCATTGTCATGGTCATCGTCATCGTCATCATCATCGTCATCATGATCAGCATCATCAGCATCATCATTTACGTCATCATCATCATCATCATCTTCATCGTGATCGTCATCGTTGTCATCACCATCATCAGCATCATCGTCATCATCACTATCAGCATCATCACCATAAATGTCATCGTCATCGTCATCATCATCATCATCATCATCATCATCATCATCATCATCATCATCATCATCGTCATCACCAGCATCATCATCATCATCGTCATCATCATCCTCGTCATCGCCATTGTCGTCGTCGCCATCGTCATCTGCATCATCCTCATCATTCTTATCATGAACATCAAAATCATCGTCATCGTCATCACCATCGCCATCATCATCATCATCGTCGTCATCACTGGCGTATTATTATCATCACTATCTAAGTCGGCAGCGTCATCGGCATCGTCATCGTCATAGTCATCGTCATAATCGCCGTTACCATGGGCATCATCATCACCATCATCATTGCCATCGCCATCATTATCATCATCAACATCGTCGTCAGCATCATCACCATCATCGTCAGCATCGTCATCAACAGCATCATCATCATCATCATCATCATCATCATCATCATCATCGTCATCATCATCATCATCATCATCATCATCATCATCATCACCGTCGTCATCGTCATCATACTCATCATCATCATCATCATCATCATCATCATCATCATCATCATCATCATCGCAATCATCATCGTCATCGACATCATCATCGTCATCATCATCATCAGCACCGTCATCGTCCTAGTCATCATCATCACCATCATCATCAGCATCATCGTCAGCATCGGCATCGTCATCATCATTAGCATCATCATTTGTATCATAATCATCAAAGTCGTCGGCAATCATATCATAATCATCAGCATAATCATCGTAATCGCCAGTGCCCTCATCGTCGCCATCGTCATCGTCATCATCAGCATCATCATCATCATCATCATCATCATCATCACCAACGTGATCATCATCATCAACATCATAGACATCGTCATTATCGTCATCGTCATCGTCACCTGCATTACCATCATCATCATCATCATCATCATCATCATCATCATCATCATCATCAGTATGATCATCAGTACCATCATCATCGCCATCACCGTCACCACCACCATCATCGCCATCATCATCATCATCATCATCATCATCATCATCATCATCATCATCATCATCATCATCATGGTCATCAACATCAGCATCGTCATCATCGTCACCACAACCATCATTATCAGCATCAGCATCATCACGATCAGCAACAGCACCATCAGCATCATCAGCATTAGCATGATTATCACCATCATGGTCATCTTCATCACCATCATCATCGCCATCCATCATCATCATCAGCATCATCTTAAACATCAATGTTATCATCATCGTGACCATCATCATCATCAATACCGTCATCGTCATCAGCATCATCATCACCGTCATAATCACCAGCATCGTCATCATGTTAGACATCGTCATGGTCAGCATCATCATCACCACCATCATCACCATGGTAACGGTGGCCGAGCTTTTCGAGAGACTGTAATCTGGTTGAGTGATAGCTGACCCCTAACCGAAAACCCCGGACTACCCATAGTGGACACGAGTTGACAACTCTCTGTCGCCAGATGGTTAAGGATGAGCCACGTCTACATCGCACAGCGGGGGGGTGCTAGGAGGGGGCATGCCGCTCCTTGACAAGAAACCTTGCCCCGATTTGCGACCGCCGCGATCGTCGCGGCGACCTCCAAAACCAACCCGGAGGTTTGGTTCGGCGTCGGATGTCACGCAACGACAACAGCCCAGAGCCTCAGAAGGCAGGATCAGTCAGCATCGCATCGGGAAATCGGATCGAATCGGAATGTGTGTCGGAGAGGACCGCATCGGCACGGGGTCGAAACCGAACCGGACGGGCTGCGTCAGGGCGCACGACACCGCCGTGCGAGCATCGGACCGCATCGGGTCGCTGGAAAACCGACATCGGATCGGATCCAAGGCGAGCTCAAAATTGGATCTGGGGGGGGGAGCGGTCCCGTCCAATGCCCGTGCGCCCCAACGAAAGGCCACAAAGCCCAATCCCACTCGCTCCTTCCTCGCTCCCCCTCCTCGCTGCTCCTCGCTCCTCCACGCCACCCCCCCTGCTGCAGCCCGGAGCTCTCGCTTTGTATGCCGCGACGGCGGCCCCGGCGATACGCCATGCCCTGCGAGCGTATCGCGCGCCGGGCAGGCTGGGAAGAGCTCGGGCTGCTGCCATATGGGGAAGAGGACGTGGCTGTGGTGGAGCCAGAACCGGCACGCTGAGCCAAAACTCCTGACCGTACACCGAGGGCATTGTACGGACAGTGTGCGAACAGCTCGAGGAGCTCCGAGTGCGGGCGTGCCCAGAGAGAACGCGCTGGGCGCCGAGGAGCCGTTCCTGGGCACCACCGACGCGGGCACGATGCCCAACAGCGAACGTTGTCCAAGACCGAAGGCAGCCGCTGTCTGGCAGGCGTCCCTTTCCCTCGCCCGCGGCGACACCGACGGAGAGCCTTGCTCAAAGTGACAAGAGCTGCTGCTGGTCTTCGTCACCACTCGGGCGTTGGCGGGACTGGGTTTAGTGGGACCTGCGATGTGTACTGGGGGGCGCCCCTCCCGCGCTCCTTTCCACTGTCTGGGGCTGCCGTCACCCACAGCAAACACCAGCTACGGCAGACGTGGTCCAGTGATTCTGACATTTAGGGCCCAATCTCGGTGGCGAACCCGCGGGGAAGTGAGAGGGGGCGGGCCTTCTCAAAGGCGCGGGGATTCTCAGCAGCCCCCGCGCCGTCTGACAAGTTGACGAGCCTTCTCTGAGGACAGAAGCGGCTTCTTGGAAGGCCGGCGTGCTTCTGAGACGCCCCGCCGCCCTCTGAGAAGACCTGCCCAATCTCACTTCCCCCCTGTGCTCGGCACCGAAATTACTAACCGACTTCCCTTACCCGGGCTCCTGGCTATATCCGAGCCGCCCTCTCCGTACCCGCCTCGATCCTCCAGAGGCCTCGAGCACCGAAAGGGCTGCCGGCCTCCTCCGATCCGCTGTCGAGCACTCAGGGAGAGCAGCTGCGATCTCTCCTCTGCCCGTTCCCCTCCGGCCCATCCCTCTCCCCAGACCCTCTCGCATCGCGAAAAAAACACGACGGGGCATGTTTCGCTATTTTCGGCATCTGCGGGCCCTCGCCGGGTCCTGGGACCATCAAAAAACGACCCAGGATGAAAAACCTGCCCTCGGGAATGGGTCGAGACCTCTGGGGGGCGACGTTGCGAACAGAAATCGCGGCGCCGGTGGTCTAGGCCTGGGGCTGTCTTGGAGAGTCATGTCGGGCGTGGACTAACCAGGCTCCGCGCAAGCCCAGCTCGGCCAAACTGTAACACATGCAATGCAGTGTCCTGGGAAGGTCCCACGCCCAGCTCGGCCAACATGCAAGGCCACCTCTGGGGCCGCGAGCGGCTCCCAGACCCGCCTCGGCCAGACGCGGGCTCCGCAGGATCCCGAGGGGCCTGGCGTTCTGGCTGAGGCCCGTCTGCGCTGAGCCCCGTTGCGTGCGCCCCCAAGGTGGCCGCGGGAGCCGTCTTCGGCTGCGCCGGGCAGAATCCTGGAGCCCGCGCGGAGCCTGCCTGGGGGGGGAGCCCTGGGAAGCGGCCAGGGGGCGCGCGGAGCGCGCCCCTCCCCCGAGATCGGGCGCTGCGACAAAAGCACAAAAGCTTGCGGAAGATCACGACCAGAGCCTTCGAGACCCTCTCTTTCGGCCGTTGTTGCTTGCCGGATGGATCCGTGACGGCCCCGCGGCCCGAGACCGGGCGAAAGCGCCCAGTGTGGAAGGATTGCGACGCTGGGATCTCAGGGTCTCCTCCACCCCTCTCGCCCCTTCCCCTCCCTCCCTCGCGCCTCGGCCCAGGGACACCTTGCGAGGGGCCCCCGCATAGGGGCTAGCGCTCAACAGCGCACGCTACACGGCACACACGGGCCTGGCTCAGGGAGGGAGAGGAGGGAGGGGAGAGAGCAGGCAGAGAACGGCAAGGCGGAGGAGACGGAGGTGCAGCCTGGGGGTCTGAGCCCCCTCCCCTGGTGAGGCGCACCCACGCCCTCCCCTCCCTTCCCTCCCTCCCCATCCCCAGGCTCCCGACTCCAAATCCCCCTCAAAACCTGGCAAGAGAACGCATGTATAGGACGACTGCCAGACGCGGCGGGGCCCCGTGGCCCAGGCAATGCCAGAGGAGGGGGTCACCAGGGCAGGGATCTCCACCTCCTCGAGAAGGGAGGGCCCTCAGGTTCTGAGGGCAATCCTGGAGGCCTCGCGCGGCAACTTGAGACCCAGCTTACGTCGGATCCAGGTCGACTTCACATCAGATTTACGTCGGATTCACGCCTGATGTACCTCGTACTTACGTCGGGGTTATCGCCGCGCGAACGTCATCCCATGTCTCACGTGGCGGACGTGTGCATTAGATAATGAAACTATTGCGCGCCGTGCGAGGACTCCAAAAACTTCCTCATAGCTCAGGAGCCCCCCAAAGCCTCCAGAACCTCCTCCAACACGCTTGAAAAATCGTGCAAACAACTCCTCGAACCTCGATCCTCAGGAGGAGCTGACGATCCCCATCGTGGCGACGACGCCCTCAGCCACTGGCTGGGCGATGCCAGCCGCACCCTGCCGTAAACGCCCCGCCCCCACCGCCCCGACAATGCTCCCTGGGCCGTTCTCGGCAATGTGGCAGCAAAGGCCGAGACGAACGTCGTTTTGTTCTGCCTGCCGTGCAGCCGAAGGCACAGACACGCCCGCCTCATTGCAAGGCCAACAGGGTGCTCTCCGAGAGAGTCTTGCGTCTGATGGGCCTCTCCTTCTCAGCCTGACGCCTCGCCTCACGCTTCGCGTCGGGCTGCGAACCGACGCGCCGGAACGGCAGGGACGCGTCGGAGGCCAGGAAACGTATGATGTGTTCAGCATGTGCTCGAGAGAGCCACCACGGATTCCACGGCATCAAGAAACCTCCGTGCTCAAGCCCAGGATCGATACGAACCTGCACTTCAGGGAACTGTGCTCGCACGTAGTCGTAGACTTTCCAAGCTGGAAGAGCCACATCGTTGCCCGAGAGGACGACCAGTGTCGGGCAGCGCTGCAATAGGGAGTGGGAGCAACGAAAGATGGAGTCTGTGCCCGGCACAATCGCACGCTTGGTCCCTTCCTGGTTGTACTCGTCCCGTATCACTACGAGAAGCACAATCATCATCAGAGGCCACCAGATACCAGCCTTGGCGGCGTGCCGTCGCGCCTCCGCGAAAGTCCAGAATGGCAGGCGGTGGGCTTCTGCAATCTCGTGCACGAAGCAGATCGGATCGAGCAGGACCAGCCGTGCTGGCCGCAAGACGGGATCGCTGCTTGGCATGCGCGGGTCGTTCATCACCATGCTGCAGTAGTCCGTGCCTGTTTGGACGCCCGAAATGGGTACCGGAAACATGGGTACAATGCCCAACAGCAAATGTTGTCCCAAACCAACAGCGGCCGCTGTTGGGCTGGGCGGCCTCCTGTCTCGAATGGGCCCAGGCCGCGGCGGCGCGGACAGCGAGACCTGTTCAACATGAACAAGAACTGCTGTTGGGCATCGTACCCATTTTTTCCGTGCCCATCTCGGGCGTCCAGAGCCTAGGGAGTGCCCGATCAAAACGTAGCGCCCTGGGCCGGCGATCTGGAGCTCGTTCAGCAACAGGCGCTCGAAGGCGTCACGGAAGGAGGGCACACTCGGCGAGACCTCCTGGAAGTTGGAACGAGAGCAGTTCGGGAGCTCCAGCACCACCAACGGTGCCCGCCTGCCCCTGCGGAGCCGGTCGATGAAATGCAAGTACGGGGCCGCACCGAGGCCGACGCCATGGATGAAGACTGCGGGCAGCTCTGCCGGGTCAGCTTCGCGAGGGCGGCACGACCAGTATCGCAACCACCCTTCTGGCGTGGGCAGCCAGCGCTGGCGAAAGCCGAGGGCGAGAAACAGGGCATCGGCAACCCAGCGTGCAACCGACAGAGCAGCCTCCACGGGCAAGGGCTTGTGCACCACCTGCAGCGGCGCGCTGCCGAAGGCCAGAGGTGCATCGCGCGCCGGTGGCTTCGCGTCCGCCGGAGGGGGCTTAATGCCCTGCTGCTTTGCCATGGCCGTGATGATGCGCAGAATTTTGGCATGCTCGATGGCCGAGGGCCCTGCAAGACAGAACGCGTCGCGGACTGTAGCGTAGACGTCTTTCCAGTCAAGGCCCTGCTTCCTGTCTGGATACTTCTCTTTCAAGTAAATCTCCATGGACTCCTTACTCAGATTGATCGGGCATATGGGATGCTCCGCAGAGTCCACCAGCCACTGCAAGTCCTCGAGGGTGCCTCGCCGATCACTCCGCCTTGGCTGCCGCAGCCGAGCCATGCGCAGGCGGAAGCGCCAGAGGCAGACCAGCTCGCACGCGAGGTAAGCCAAGATGAGCGACCATCCCCGGACTCGCTGCTTGCGCAGGAAGATCCTGAGACCCAGTGCGACACGGTGGCGAAAGGATGCTGCGATTGATAGCGCAGCTGGCCCCATCATGCCGCCCCAGCGAATGGCAGCGGCAGCGTTCTGCTTGGCTCGACATCAGACCCTTGGGCCGGAAAGGCTACGAAACGCAGCTCCACATGTGCATGTAGATGTTCCGGCAAAGAGGAATGTGGTGCACAAGCACACGCACAATCACAAACACACGCACACACACTTTTAGAGACGAAGCCGTCGCTCTTTCAGCCCGCATGACACACACACACAGACATTTTGGCGTTGCGGCCACGCGCGCGGCGGCGCGGCGTAGGTCAAGTCGGGCGGGAACGCTCGGGCCGGCCCAGCTCACGCAGCGTAGAGAAACGGGATCCAACAGTAGGAGGTCAACAGCAACACCCACCAGCCCACCCCCCGCACACACACACACACACACACACACACACGCACACGCACACGCACACGCACACGCACACGCACACGCACACGCACACGCACACGCACACGAACACATACACACACACACACACACACACACACACACACGCACACGCAAACGCACACGCACACGCACGCACACGCACGCACACGCACACCCACACACGCGCGTGCGCAGATCCACTTATGCACTCACTCATACACGCATACAATCACGCATACTGATTCCTCCCAGCAATTGGTTTAAATTACCCACGAAAATGATTACTATGGCTCACGTCTGCAGGAAATCAGCACGCCCACCTTTCGTGGGAGCGTGCGCGGGCCAGAGCCCCATCAGGAAAAGGGCCGCGGGACGAAGGAGGGACCGCCCCAGACAAATGGTGCAGAAGAGGAGGCGAGGGGACACTCACGTAAGTGAAGGGGCCAAGGACACATAAATAAATAGGCACTAATCCCAGGATTGCCTTATGTTTCTGTATTATTATTGAGCTTCGTCTTCCCCGCGACTTCCCATGGCTTCCCATATTCCCCTGGGAGTCGACGATAACTTGTGTCTGTGTGTTTTCCCCTCCCGAGTAAGCTTCGTACCCTGGATTTCCGCTGGGTGGGCAGGCGGAAAGCGGTGTATCACAGCACGGCTTGGGCAGAATGGTGCAGGCGCGCCAGGCGCGCTCGTGCACTTCCTCGGGGACAGGGCGTGCTTCTGCGCCCGACTTCTAGCTCTCTGGTGGACGTGGCCCCTTCATCGGCGCAGTGGACCTCCAGGGAACCCTAAGTGCCTCGCACGGAGCCCACGGCATCGTCCAAGGGGGCCTGCAGAGAGGCCTGATCCAGCGCTCAGAGAGCTCTCGTGGGGCCTCCCAGAAGGCGTTGCCCTCAGCCTTGCAGAACCTTCGAGGCCCCTGACGGGGGCGGGTGGCAAGGGCCTCGTAGAGCATCTGGCGGCTTCCAAGACCTCCAGGAGCCTTCCAGGGAGCCCCTGGGCGCTTCCAGGGAGGCTCCCCTGGAGCTCGCCCGAGGGGGGCACGGACCCCTCGACACCTCTGAGACCCCCAAAGGAGCGCGGCGCCAGCCCCTTCGATCCCTGCGAAGCCCCGAAGAGGATGGCGCAGGCCCCTTCGATCCGTGCGAGGCCCCCCGGCAGTGGCGCGCGCAGACCCTTCGAGCGCCGCCGAGCCAGCCCCCATGGCCGAGCGGAGGCACGCCACCACGAGAGGATCGCGTGGCATCGCGACCCCGTGGCTCGAGGACGCCCCCGCTGAGGGGGAAACGACAGCGGGGACGGGCTAAAGGGGGGGAAGCATCGAGCTGGAATCGGCGAGGCCTCGCCGATAGATCGGCAGCAGGGACCTCGATAGCGCGACCTCACGTTCCTGGGCAGCAGGCCCCGATCGGTGAGAAACGAGCGATCGGGGGTCGATGCTTCCCCCCTCGAGAAAGTTCCTCCCCTCCCGACGTCGTCCCTGACGATGCGTGCCCCCCCCCCCCCCCCCCGCATCGCTCTCGGCGAGGCGCAGCTGCTGGAGAGCGCCCCGAGGCTGGGGAACCGCCGAGAAGCGACGAGGCCGCCCGAAAACTGGCCCGAGGCCGCCGGGGCCGCCGAGGACCTCGAGCCTCAGAACCTCCGCCCGCCCCTGTGCCCGTTGCCCCCCTCAGCGGCGCCCCTGACCCGCAGGCCCAGGTAAAACAAGGCTAGGATCGGGATAAATCGCTCCAGAGCGTTCCGGAGCGCTCTCAGAGCGTCCCGGAACGCTCTGGAGCAGCCGCGGCGCCCGATACATCCTCCAAACCCGCCGATTCTCAGAGATTTCGAGTTATCCCGATTCGATTTTGTCCCGATCTTCGCGTCGTTTTACCAGGAGGGGGGGGGGGGCTGTCGGCCTCCAGCAGCTCGGCAGCCAGCGGGGCCGCGGCCAGAGACGAAGCCCGCGGCCGGCGCGATAGAGACACGTGGTCCTGAGATGTATCTTGCATCGCTTCCCGGGGGTGGGGCTGAGACTGAGGGTGGGCCCTGGGCTGTTCCCCCCCCCGAAGAAAGGCTCCCTGTCGCACCGCCGCCGCCGAGGCTCCCGCCCGCCTGTGCCGCCTGCCGAGGGGCAGGCCGAGGGTCGACTACACGCAAGAGTGACCCCAGGCAAGAGTGACCTTTGGCGCGCGGGGGGAGGCCATGCTCGAGCGCGCAAGCCGATGCTATCGCATCGCGCCCAGCCATCTGGGGGCGCCAGTGTGCCCGTACCTGAGGTCACTCTGGCGAAAGGCCACTCTCACGCGCAGCCGGGAGGGGGCCTGCCCCGAGGTCCGCACGGCGCAGGAGGGTTCGAGAGGCTCCGAGGTCCGGGGGGGTCGCCCAGTTTCGCTGGTACTCGGCGGTCCCCTCCAGCCTCGGGGGGCCCTCCAGCGGCTGCGCCTCCCGGGGGGGTCGGCCACTTTCGCTGGTACTCGGCGGTCCCCTCCAGCCTCGGGGGGGGCCCTCCAGCGGCTGCGCCTCGCCGAGAGCGTTCCAGGGCGCCAGAGTCCACGGCCGCCGAAGGCCCGAGCTGCGGCCCGAACGAGGGCTCAGCGGCAGGGTTCGCCTGCGGCCCCCCGCCCACCGCATGCCGACTTCGGCACGCCCCTCGCACGCTGCGTGGCCCCACATGGAGCTCCACCGAAGGCCCCGGCGGCAGGGCTCGCAGCGGGGAAGGGGGAACCCCGAGATCCAGGCGCTGCATTCGTTCCCCCGCCGGGCGTTGTCGCAGAGCCTCGGGCCCCGGGGCCCTCACAGATCGCGCCAGCTCGAAAAATGCCGCAGACGGACGAGTCCAGGCTCCGGTCGCGATGTTTCGCAATGTCGCAGTTGTGCCGCAAAGTCGGATCGAAGGGTCCGTGGAGCCTCACCAAGGGCAGGGGGCCCGCTGGGGCTCGCGAGTGGCGGGCCCCCCCGCCCCTCATCGTGAAGCCTCCAGCGGCTTCGGGGGCCTTCAGACAGCTTCGAAGAGCCTCCGTGGAGAGCCTCCGATGGGTTCTGTCAGGGATCTCCACGGGCCTCGAAGGAGGCTCCGGGGGTCTGCCCAGCGGGTGCGCAGAAGGATTGCGCCAGACTGCGTGGCAGGCCTGCCAGGAGGCCAAGCGCATCCCAGGACATCGAGGAAGGCTCCGGCGGCGACGTACCCACGGCAGTTGCGCGGGAGGCCTGGTCATTGGAGTGTGCGGGGCCGTCAAGCTGGAGCGATCAGCGGGGCAGGATCCTCGTGGAAGCTGCGCAAGCTTCAAGGACATTTCCAAGAGCCTCCGAGGAATCCCTGGAAGCATGCAAGGAGCTCCCAGGGAGACTCCAGCCGAATTCGGCAGGCCTCAGGCCCCGCCAGGAAGGACGGCTCACGAGGATCGCGGGGGACTGCAAGCCTCAGGCGCCTCCAGAGCCCCCAAGGATCCTCGGAGAACTTCCACAGGCCTAGAGGCCTCTAGGTTGTAGGCGGCCGGGAGGTCTGAACTGGATAAGCTCAAAGAAAGAAGGCCAGAGGGGGGATGAGGGCAAACGCAGCCACGGGCTGGACCGCCGTGGGTCTTCGAGAGCCTCCAGGAGACACCCAGAGAGCTCTCCAAGACCTCCAGGGAGCCTCCAAGGAGCGGCCAGACAAGGCCCCTGGAGTATTGTTCCAGGCCGCTCCTGGGCCAGGGACCTCGGACCTGCCGAGAGGGCTGGCCTCGTTGGTCCCCTGCTCCTGCTCCTCCTCCTCCTCCTCCTCCTCCTTCTTCTTCCTTTCCTTTCCTTTCCTTTCCTTTCGTTTCGTTTCCCTTCCCTTCCTTTCCTTTCCTTTCCTTTCCTTTCCTTTCCTTTCCTTTCCTTTCCTTTCCTTTCCTTTCCTTTCCTTTCCTTTCCTTTCCGTTCCTTTCCTTTCCTTTCCTTTCCTCCTCCTCTTTCTTCCTTTCCTCCTCCTCCTCCTCCTCCTCCTCCTCCTCCTTCCTTTCCTTCTCATTCGCCTCCTCCTCCTCCTCCTCCTGCTCCGTCTCCTCCTTCTGCTCCTCCTGCTCCTCCTCCTCCCCTCCTCCTCCTCCTCCTCCTCCTCCTCCTCCTCCTCCTCCTCCTCCTCCTCCTCCTCCTCCTCCCCCGGCCGGGGCCTCCGCGGAGAGGCAGGGATGCAGGGGGCCTTGCCACCTGCCACGGGCAGGCCACTGTGGCCGTGCGACTTGCGGCGTACAGGCGCACGGCTGCCTCTCATCGGCGGCGAGCCCGGGGGGAAGTGAGAAGGGGCGTGCCTTCTCAGAAGGCTCGGAAGTCCCCCGGCCTTCCACGGTCACGGCCACGGCCACGGCCACGGCCACGGCCACGGCCACGGCCACACGGCCACAGCCACGGCTACGGCCACGGCCACGGCCACGACCACGGCACCACGGCACCACGGCCACGGCCAAGGCCACGGCCACGGCCACGGCCACGGCCACGGCCACGGCCACGGCCACGGCCACGGCCAGCGCCACGGCCACGGCCACGGCCACGGCCACGAGGAGTTTTCTCAGCCTTCCCCGAAGGCACAGGGAAGCTCTGAGGAGACCAGAGTGCTTCCGAGAAAGCAGCCCCGCCGCCTTCTGGAAAGGCCTTTTTCCTTCTCACTTCCCCCCCTTGCTCGCCGCCGATCTCAGCATGTTTCGGTTTTCTGTGGACGTGCACCTCGCCACAAGAAAGCCATGCTACTGCACGGCGG